TGGTGCACACCTTTTAATCCCAGCATTTGAGAGGCAGAGGTAGATGGATTTCTGAGTTCAAGGATCTATATAGTGAGCTCCAGGACAGCCAAGACTACGCAGAGATACCTGTCTCAAGTAAACACAAAAACCAAATATACAAAAATTCAAATTTTTATACTCATTTTTGAGTATGAATGTTTTCCTGCAAATATGTGTGTGCACTACATGTACCCATGGAAGTCAGAAGGGGGCATCAGATCTTTTAAAACCTGACTTACAGATAGTTGTTAGCCACCATGACCATATCGTGCTGAGAACCAAACCTGGGTCCACTGGAAGAGCAACAAGTGCTCTTAACCACTAAGCCGTCTCTCCAGTCCCCAGACTTTTCCAAAGTGATACCGAAACAGGCAGGCTAGGGGGCTCAGTGGTTAACAGCATTTGCTGTTCTTGAACAAGACTCAAGTTTAGTGCCCAGAACCCATACTGGGCATCTCACAACAACCTGTTACTTTTACATTTTATAGTTCTGCACGGACGTATTCAGGGATAATCTGGGGCCTGTGTGGTCCATGGGCTGCAGGTTAGGTTAAACATGCCTACTACAACACCTTACATGTTCTCACCTGTCTTCCATAGAATCCTCTCTTCTGTACGGTGAGTTCCTGATAGTGATTTCCATTCGGTGATCCCTCAGCTCCCCCTCCTCAAGGGAATCCCTTTTGGAATCCCGGTCATCAGACTAAGAAGCAAAGAAAAATGAATCATTAAGTCATTTTCCTTATAGATAACCTTCCTAACCTTTGAAAAATATCTTGTTATGTATCTCAGGCTGGCTTTGTTTTTTTTTTTTTTTTGTTGAACCAAGGTCTCAGGCTGGCTTTGAACTTGAAACCTTTTACCTCAGCTCCAAAATGCTCAAAATACTGAGGTTACCTTACTACTAAACATATCTTTTTTTTTTTTTTTTTTTTTTTTGAGACAGGGTCTCACTATAATATAGCACTGACCTCCTGAGGTCCTGAGTGTCGGGATTAAAACTGAAGCTTGCTGAGTAACTTTAAATATACACGTTGCATGGTGACATTACAAAACACAAGGTAACTTTTGTTCAAATTTTATGTAATTAACATCACATTTTCTTTTTGTAACTCAAAACCAGAGAACAGAAAGTTAAAAACACTATATATGATAAGGGACATGAGACTGTGCCAAGAATATTACTTTTTTTTACAAGCCAAAATTAAGATCTAAGTTGGACTTAACACATCAAATACATCATACAAGATTCATATATACATTTCGAAATGATCTCTCTCTAATTTTATCATAAGAAGTACTTATGTCCAATCGCCCCAAACTACGTTATCATAGTTCTGACTATGATATACTATGATATCTGACTATGTTATCATACAGCCACAAAAGCTACAAAATGATTCACTTTATTTGCAAGGCAAGATCCCACTATATTAAAAAATACTTGGCAATGGTGTTATGAATATACTAATTATGAGATGAGAAAAATTAGTCTGCTTGTAATAAAGATTCTAGGTTCAGAACATTTTATTTTTTAAGGAGAGATCCTCATTTAGATACAGCTTCGGGGTTTGGAGAGATGGCTCAGTGAATAAGAGCACTGGCTGCTCTTCCAGAGGACACAGGTTCAATTCCCAGCACCCACCTGTCTGTCACTCCAGTTCCAGGGCACCTGACACCTTCACACAGATAGACATGCAGGCAAAACACCAATGCACATAAAATTATGACAACAAAAGAACAAAAAGCCCAAAGAACTAGATACAGCTTCAGTGTGTTATCAATCTGGCTTGAGTGTCAACTGTGTATATGAATGTTTTTGTTAATTTTAGAATAGATTTTGGGCTCACCTGTGACATTTGGAAGTACAAAAGAACTTCACCGAAGAAGCGTTGTTCTAATGGAAAAATGAGGGCAAAGAAATTAAATCTCCTTTAAGAAAACCACTTACTTAAAAAACATAGCTTACATTTTTTAAGCGTTTTATCTCTGCTTTCTCCTCTTGTTCTTTCCTTCGTTTCTTTTCCTGGAGAATTTCATCTAATGTTTTCACTTTCCAAGAGTCCTTTTCATCACCCATTTGAGTTAAAACGCTGCAAAAAGAAAGATAATTCAAGCAACCTCGGGGCACAGAAATCTATGCTCTGTTGCTCTGTCTATTCTGAACACTTAGGGTTAATCATTAATGTTTCAGAATAAGTTCCGGAAGTCCAGGTAGGCAGGAGGATTCTGCCTTCTTTTTTTTTTTTTTTTCTGTCATTCCTTTAAGGTTTTGGGCAACTCAGTTTTTACCTCGGTTCACTTTTCCGTAAAACGCAATCATCACCATCCACGAAATGGTACCGTTCCAGGATGAAAGACCATCCCGGTCAGAGCTCTTATCTCAGTGCCTTAGGTGTCAAAGGGCTGTGTGAGAACGTTCCAGGACGCGGGGGGCCTGGGTGACGGGTAAGATCAAGGGGGCCCGTCAAACCCTGGCCCCGGGGTGCGGTCCCGCAAACATGAGGCGGGGGCTGGCTCCGGGGCGGCCAGGGCCCGCCGCCTCCGCGGCCCGTAGCTCCGCGGAGCGAGGCCGAAAGCGGCAGCACTGTGTCGCTAGCCTGATTCTTCGGGAGCACCGTCAACCCACGTCTGACCTCCCGCCGCCACTCACCCCTGCGCCGCCGTCGCCGCCGTCGCCGCCGATCCCGGAGTCTGAGAAGAAACTGCGCCCGGCGCGCGTCAGGAACGTTGTCACTTCCTCCTCGGGCGCCCGCTGATGACGTGCATGGAGGCGGTCGGAAGTGACGCACACGGAGAAGCTCAGGGTCAGCGAGCTTCTGGCACCTCTCTTGAGTGTCACTAGTGGAGGGTGTGACTCGGGACGACCCGCCCTGGCCTTGTTTACCTGTGTGGCTGCGGAGAAACAGAGCCAAGCCTCCCTCACCGCCACGACGGCCGGCAGGATTCGGTAGCATCGGCTACATGATCTTCCACAACCAGGCGTTTGTTAACTTACACGAGGCCTTTGGCTTGGGCCAAGCCGTGCTAGGTCACTAAAAGTGGAATCCCGTTAGAGGGTCAAACCATCAAATGGAAAAGTCTTTCCGTTCTACCCAGGATTCAGGAAGCCGAATTCCCAGGGCTAGTTACATGATGAGGAAGCCCCGCGTTCAAGAACACAACATTGAAACGAATCCAGTTTCCTCAGCCAACCTCTTCTGTGTGGGCCTACTGAAGTGACTGGGTGTTTATTTTCTCTGAGACGGGGTTCACTATGTAGACCTGGCCTCGAGCTTAGAGAGAGCCTCTTGCGTGTACCACCACCTGCTTTGTTTTTGTTTTCTGTTCATTCTAATTGCAGAACTACAAAGTTAAGATCTCCGAAATTGTAATTTTGTCTTGGTACGCTGAAGCAGGGCGGGTAGAGCTTGACAGTGAGATTTTAAAGCTGATACTATGGCAGTATTTCTCAGTGTGTTTAAACGAACTGGAGATCTTGAAGGAACCCTATGATTCCACAAAAAGTTATGAAACAGAGCAGAAATGAAAATTGCTTCTGCATGCCTTTGTCAGGCTATCTGTGGGTTTTGGGGGAAAAATAGCCAAGTATGGTGGTGGTGGTGCTCACCTTTCCTTCCAGCATTCTGGAAGCAAGCAGGCAGATCTGAGTTCGAGGCCAGCCCGGGCTGCACAGAGAAACCTTGTCTTGAACCTGCCCCCCTCCCCTGCAAAAGACAAAAATAAAACAAAATCTTACACAAAACAATTACACATTTCACATTTATTTTCTTTCACAAGAAAATTGGCGGCTTGGAAAGAAATGAGATGAGGAGGCTTTCACAATACCCATTTATTACATGACTCACAATACCCATTTATTACATAACTCATTGAATTACTTTACAGAACTCTAGGCATTAATCACTGAAATACTGAAATAGGTAAAATATAAAACATTATACATTTTATGATGCATCTTAGTTCTCTAGTATTGTTTGGTGCAAAACAAATATGACTTGGCATTGTTGTAGATAATTACCAATATACTATCAAGGTTTTCTTTTTTTTTTTTTTAAGGAGGGTGGTGGTGGTTTTGAGACAGGGTTTCTCTGTAGCTTTGGTGCCTGTCCTGGACTAGCTCTTGCAGACCAGGCTGGTCTCGAACTAAAAGAGATTCACCTGCCTCTGCCTCCCAAGTACTGGGATTAAAGTCAACATCACCCGGCTTGCTGCTGCTGCTTTTTTTTTTTTTTTGATGTGGAACTTACAACCTTAAACTGTGGACTTTTCCAAAGTGACAATACTGCTTGAACAAATACAAATTCACAGTTATCTCCAAGTCTAAACACTAGAAATTAATTTAATGCAGTTTGAGTCCCAGAAATGGAAACTAAAGACAATGGAAACAAACAAAAAAACCACACACACACTTGCCAAATGGATTGATTTCAAACTCAACTTGAACATGTGAGCAAGAGTCTAACAGTCACCTAACTCAGAATTAGAGCCCCCAAGGAAACTAAGAATGAAAACATTCGGGCGGTGGTGGTGCGCGCCTTTAATCCCAGCACTTGGGAGGCAGAGACAGGTGGATCTCTGTGAGTTCGAGGCCAGCTTGGTCTACAAGAGCTAGTTCCAAGACAGGCTCCAAAGCTACAGAGAATCCCTGTCTCGAAAAAACAAAAACAAAAAAAAAAAGAATGAAAACATTCTTAGGAAACACCAAAGTTAAAAGCTACTACACTCTGAATTGTGGTTGGAACTGTCTGTCCACATTAGCATGATGTTTAGTTCATGGGGCGAGCCAAGACATTTATAAACTAAGAAAACAGTTGCGGGGGGGGTGGGGGGCTTTATAGCTCAGAGAAGGGCAACAGCCTAGCATTCCCGAAGCCCTAAGCTCTAGCCCTAGCCCAAGAGAGAGAGAGAGAGAGAAAAGAGGAAAACGAGGAGATGAAAAGGCCTCCCCATAGTAGGCCATATATTTCTTTGTTGAGGGGAAAAAAAATAGAAGAGAATTGAAAACGGCTGGTGACACCTGCTTGTAATCTCAGGACGAAGAAGACTGAAGGAGCCGGGCAGTGGTAACAGTGCACAGCTTTAATCCCAGCACTCCTGAGGCAGAGGCAGGCGGATCTCTGTGAATTTGAGGACAGCCTAGTCTACAGACTGAGTTCCAGGACAGGCTCCAAAGCTACAGAGAGGGAGGAGGAAGACTGAAGAAGGCTGCAGATCTCAAGGACAGTATGGCTCACGTAAGGACTCAAGGGAAAGAGAACAGGCATGGTTTTCCACCGTTAGGATCATCTTTGTTTACTCTTTTCCAGTGTTAGGAAATAAAATGCTTGCAGGAGACATCACTTGGACAGAAGTGAAGTGACCACGGAGGAGCTGGGTCACAGCCACGTATTTTGTAGTGATCTAAAGGCAGCAAGCAGTTTACGTGACTGATTCCCTTGTGCGTGTTTATTCTCTTTCATCTCCTCTGATTCATCATTTTTATTTTTGTCAAATTAGAAACATATTTTGGATTGCACAAGAGTACTCTCGACTTTCCAGGCAAACAGATTATAATGCTGGTATGTAAGAAATTACAAAGATCAGAAAAACAATTAAGTTTTTTTTTTTGAAACAGGATCCTAATATGTAGCCCAAGTTGGTCTTGGAATAACTGTATAGCCTAATGCCTCCACAGGACTATGATTACAGGTAAGTGGTACCATGGCCAACTTTAGACAAAAACCATCTACTGTGGTGGATGTTTTGGGGTCTCGTCTCCCTCTATCCCATGTGTGCTGGTCTCAATAAATGACACCAATGTATCACTAAGCTACACCCCAAAGTCATGGGAGTCTTTTTTAATGTACTCATTTTAAAATCATGTGTGTGTGCATACGTGTATGTATGTGTGTGTGTGTGTGTGAGTGCAGATGCCCACAGAAGCTAGAGGAATCAGAATCCCTAGAGCTGGAGTTACAGGCAGTTGTGAGGCACCCTACACGACTTCTGGAAACTGAGCATGGGTCCTCAGCAAGAGCACTACTTGTTCTTCCCCACCAAGTCTTCTCTACAGCCCCTAGAAGCGTTCTGAAATTAGAAATCTGTGTATCTCTTAACCATGTGTGTAGTGAGGAAGCAGATGGCTGGCTCAGAATGTCCATCCGGTGTTCTGTTACAGCAGACCAGACAAAGACATGGACTTAGGAAAAATTAATCCAAGATATTTCTACACGTACATCAGCAACAATTCTTGAAAAACACAGTATGATATAAAAGTACTGACAACGTTAATAAAAAAATATTGTGATGGTATGGTTATAACAAATGGCCAGGAGTCCTGGAAATGCTGGAAGAGGTGGCTGTGTGGCAAGGATGTGCATGGAATGTAGAGCCTGACAGGCCGTGGTGCTGGCTCTAGCACAGACTCCATGGTCTTCCCGCCTGTGATGAGGACAGGCCGTGATGCTGGCTCTAGCACAGACTCCATGGTCTTCCCGCCTGTGATGAGGACAGGCCGTGATGCTGGCTCTAGCACAGATGACATGGTCTTCCCGCCTGTGATGAGGACAGGCCGTGATGCTGGCTCTAGCATAGATGACATGGTCTTCCCGCCTGTGATGAGGACAGGCCGTGATGCTGGCTCTAGCACAGACTCCATGGTCTTCCTGCCTGTGATGAGGACAGGCCGTGATGCTGGCTCTAGCATAGATGACATGGTCTTCCTGTCTCAAAAGCAGCTTTTTAAGAAGTTGTTTTAAGAAAATCTTTGTTTTTGTTTCTAGTCCACAAACTTAGAATCAAAACAGGCGGAAAGGTTGGTGAAGTGGAGGAGTAGACAGAAGAAGTTACGATGGGCCATTTCCTAATTCCACATGGGAATTCCAAGTGCTACTCAGAAACCAGGCATTTGGGGCTCTGATCTGTAAGAAGGCCAGAGGGATCTTCCAACCACTGCCCAAACACGTGTCCTGGTGTGTCAGCAGCTCCACAGCCAGGTTCTTGAGAGAGGCCTAATGTACAGATTAACCCAATATCCATCATCTGCCCTCCAATGGAAGTAGAAACCTGGGGAAAGTCAAATGAGAGAACCCTTCATAGTGGAGGTGACCTCAGCACAGGGAAGACACACCTAGCCTGTGTCAAGAACACAAGCACCTTCTCTGAAAAGGTGGATTATAGATTAAAAGGCCTCATTTTGATCCATCATCACAGCAAACTTTTTCAAGTACATAAAACTTAAGACATAATTATTGCTCTTTTTCAAATCAATCTGTCTCTTTGAGGGGCTATTTTCATATTTTCCAGGCAAGGAGCCAACTTGGAAATCAATGAACCAGCATGGGCCTTCAAGATGAACAGCAGGGAAAGTGAGACTTGGAACCGAAAGTGCCAGTGGCTAAAGCTCGTGAGTCTCGGAGTTTGGGTTACTGGAGAAGAGTCTTAAAGACTGGCTGGCCATGGACTGCACCCCACATCAGAACCCACAAACTGATGAATAAGTAAAACCTCAGCATCTCATGCCCAAGCCCCCACTATGGTCCTTCACTGCTCAGGCATCCTGAGCTCTGACACCAGTGACCCTGGGAGGAGGGACAGACTCTGGGCACCTGGTAGCTCAGGAAGTATCACATATGATCCCTGGGAAGAGCCAGCTGTGTGTGTAGACTTGGATTCACCTTACATGCAGACACTCCAGGAGCTTTGCTAAAATGAGTCACTGCACATGAAGCGTAACCTGTAAACACAGATGCTCTGCTAAACTTCCCTGTCATCATCCCGAAGGGGAATCTGGCAGGGTGGTCAACTATGCCTGCTTCACATTCAGTATACCCAGGACAGAGAAGAACTCCAGGGGGACCTGTTCTGATTAGAGATTTGCCCGAGTTAGAGAAATCACCAAACGGGTAGCAGAAACACAGGACAGCAAACCTGGAGTGGGGTAGCTCAGTGTAGCACAGGCCAAAAAGGGGAGACTTTCTCTTCATAGAAGCTCTACTCCTCCATGGAAGAAGACACTCGTCTCTGTTGTCAGTCATTCTGCATCCCCAGGGTTTTGTGGCTCTTTGCTAGAGTCACTGGCATCTGGAATTTCTGTTTCTTGTCTGTCAGGAACCAGGAGGCTTTGGTGTCTGTGGTGGTGGTGGTGGTCATAGGAAAGTTGAAGTCTCCTGGACGGCATCAAGCAGACAGCAACTCCTGTTGGTACTGGAACCTGTGCTTATTCCACAGTTGGCCCCACCGAGTCACTGGCGCACCTGCAGGCAGTGTGCCCAGTTAGCCATAGGCCATTTGCTCCCTCCTGCAGGGCTCTGTCAGGCAGAAGCTGATCCCCAAACTCCCCATCTGGTGTCCAGTGAGGAACAAAAGACCTGCCTGCAGAGTCTGCCTCTCTCTTCCAGCATACAGTGCAGGAGGACAGTCTAGGCTGGGTTTCCGGGCGTCACGGCATCAAAAGGAACTCAGTGGTGCTGTCTTGAGTCCTGGGGAACCAGAGGTTCTGTGTCATCCTCTGAACCCCGGCTACTGGCTGTGGCCAGACTCTGCATGGTCTCCTGCTGATACTGCCTGGCCTTGTTGTAGAGCAAGACGCCCACTGTGACAAGGACGGTGCCAATGGCAGACAGGCTGGTGATTTTGTTGCCAAAAACGATGATGCTGAGCCAGATAGACAAGGCGTGCTTCACGGTGCTGGCGACACTATGGCAGTAGAGCAGAGCAAACAGTCAGGTGCTGGCTCACACCCACAGAGGCAAGCCTGCTGTGCTGTCAGCCCGGGGTCTTGGCCCCAAGGGGGACATGGATGAGGTTCCTAGCACTGAGGGGTTTTGTCTGCAACTTTGTTCTCAGGTTTACTCCTTTTTTTTTTTTTTTTTTGGTTTTTTTCGAGACAAGGTTTCTCTGTGGTTTTGGAGCCTGTCCTGGAACTAGCTCTTGTAGACCAGGCTGGTCTCGAACTCACAGAGATCCGCCTGCCTCTGCCTCCCGAGTGCTGGGATTACAGGCGTGCACCACCACCGCCCGGCTACTCCTTTTTTTTTTTTAAAAAAAAAAGAAGATTTATTTATTTCATGTATATGAGTGCTCTATCAGCATGTGCGCCTTTATGCCAGAAGAGGCCATCAGTTTCCACTATAGATGGCTGTGAGCCACCGTGTGTTTGGTGGGAATTGAACTCAGGACCTCTGAAAGAGCAGCTAGTGCTCTTAACTGCTGAGCCATCTCTCCAGCCCCCAGGTTTACTCTTTTTAAATGAAAAATCTCAAAACAGGGGCTGAAGAAACGACTCAGTGGCTAAGAGCAGAGCTGCTCTTCCAAAGAACCCAGATGGTGGCTCACAGCTGTAACTCCAGTCCCAGGGAATCCGATGCCCTCTTCTGGCCTCCATGGGATACAAAGAACCCAGATGGTGGCTCACAGCTGTCTGTAACTCCAGTCCCAGGGAATCCGATGCCCTCTTCTGGTCTCCATGGGATACAAAGAACCCAGATGGTGGCTCACAGCTGTAACTCCAGTCCCAGGGGATCCGATGCCCTCTCCTGGCCTCCATGGGATACAAGCATGCACATGATATACACACATACACTCAGACAAAATACCCAAACATATTAGGTAAATAAACTTAAAGAAAACCATCAAAGTAGTGAAACACTGACGTAGTCCCAGCACCTGGACTTGAAGAACGGATTCTGCTGCATCTGCTTGAGCTTCCTCCCTTCCTTTGCAGCTCAAACCAACATCTAACTCTAAATAGACGAGGCTGATTCTGAACTACCAAGCCTACCTCTGCCTAAATTCTGGGATTATAACTCCATTATCACACCCAGTTTGTCCTTAGCAGTTTTGCCCTTTCTAAAATCATTTTATTTATTGTTTCACTTTCTGTTGTTTTGCCTGCATGTCTGTATATGCACCACGTATGTATTTGGTGCTCACAGAAGACAGAAGCGGGCCTTAGATACTCTGGAAATGGAGTTATGCATGGTTGTAAATCACCACGTGGGTGCTGGGACTCAAACCCAGGACTTCTGCAAGAGAAACAAGACCCTAGGCTGGCCTGAACCTGCAGTGGTCCTCCTGCATCAGCCCCTGAATGCTGGAATTACAATGTGCTACAATGCCTGTCTCAGTAGTGATTTGAACTAAATGTTTATTTGATTCTGTGTGTGTTTATATGCATCGTGTATGTGCAGTGCCCACAGGTCAGAAGAGGTGTTAGATTCCCTAGAACTCGAGTTACAAATGGCTGTGAGCTGAATCCTGGTCCTCTTTCAGAGCAATAAACACATAGGGCTGGAGAGATGGCTCAACAGTTGAGAGCACTGGCTGCTCTTCCAGAGGACCTGAGTTCAATTCCCACCAAACACACGGTGGCTCAAAACCATCTGTAATGAGATATGGTGCCCTCTTCTGACCTGCAGACATACATGCAGACAGAATACTGTATACATAATAATAAATAAATATTAAAAAAAACAGCAGTAAACACTCTTAACTACTGAGCCAATTTCCAGCTCCTGGACTGAAATATTTTAAGGTCAGCTGGAGATACTGTGTCCTGGGGAGGTGGGGAGGGAGAGCTCTCACAGTGGATCCTACTTTTGCTTCTAACTATTCTTCTGAGTACTGTGCCACCACTCCCAGCAACACTGTGACATTTGCCCCTAAAATACCTCAGCTTGCTCTCTGTTAACAGAATGAGACAAACACCATGTGTACTGTCAAGAACTCTACAAACCTGAGGGAAAACCCTAAGGTTAATTTGTTAAGTGAAACTGACCCCATGCACATATTAGGCCCCAGTAGAAACAGTTAATATGAAATACGTTAAAATGCCTGAACTTCTGTTCTGTTGGACTGGGATTATGAATAACTTAATTTTTATACTTTTCTGTCTTGTTGAAATTTTTAAATTTATTTAATATGCATTGTTGTTTTGCCTGTGTCTGTGTGAGGGTGTCAGATCCCCTGGAACTGGAAGTTACAGATAGTTGTGAGCTGCCATGTGGGTGCTGGGAATTGAACCCGGGTCCTCTGGAAGAGTAGTCAGTGCTATTAACCACTGAATCTTCTCTCCTTTTGACCTTTCTATGATGAGAACAATTAATTCTATGGGTTAAACATGCCTGGAGTAAACCACAGATAGAAATATTTGGGAAAAAACAGAGCCTATATTGAATGTGTATAGACTTTCTTCCTTGTTATTACTCCGTACATGTACAGTACGGCAAGCTGGGAGGTGGTGGTGCACACCTTTAAACCCAGCACTCAGGAGACAGAAGCAGGTCAATCTCTGTAAATTCAAGGCCATCCTGGTCTACATAGCTAGTTCCAGAACAGCTAGGCTTGTTTCACAGAGAAACCCTGTCTTTGGGGGGGTGGTACAGTTTAGCAATAATTTATACAGCACTTAGGACACAGCATCTTGTTAGTCCTAAGGTCTTAGAGGATGAATGCAGTTTCTCTGCAAATCCCTGGTAATTTAATATAAGGAATTTAAGATCTGTGGCTTTTGAATCAGATATGGTAGTACCTGGCTATGATTCCAGCATTTGGGAGATAGAGGATAAGGAGTTCAAGGTTTCCTTGCCTATATAGTGAGTTCCAGGTCAGTCTGGGCCATATATAAGAGCATCTCAAAAAGAAAAACCAACCTGTGAATCTCAGGAAAATTTCTGCAACAGCGACTTCCAGAAAAAAGTTCCCTGAAAATCTTCTTCACACAGTGATGGTCCAGTATCAAAGGAGGAGAACCTCACTCACCTGAAAGTCACAGGGGAGATCTTTCCCATCAGGGCGTATGCGGTGACACTCTGAAGGTGAAACAAGGCGCCGTCTGTCAGCAGCAGCAGCACGATGTCCTGGCTGTAGCTGAAGCTCTTCCCACTCCTGCCAATCACAGGGACATCCTATGGCCAAAACAAAAGGACGTTCTTCTGGCCTGTCGTCGCTGCTGAGAAGGTAAGGTACCACCGGTGCCAAGTAACTGAAAGTCAGTCACACTGGAGCTCTGAATGCCTGTCTGCTAGACAGCAGTGTGCACATTCATTAGGACTTTCAGTACAGACCAGGCATGCTACATGCCTACAATCCCAGCACTCAGGTAGAGACAGGAGGACTTGGACATTCAGAGAAAAACAGCAAATCTGAGGCCAACTTGATTTACACGAGCTCTTATCTCAAAAGTGAGGGGGGTTATGTCGGAAAAATGCCTCAGTAAGTAAAGAGCTTGCAATACATGTAAGAAAACTCATGCCAGAGCTAGGTGGCGGTGGCGCACACCTTTAATCCCACCACTTGCCAGGCAGGCAGATCTCTGTGAGTTCAAAGCCAGTAGTCTGGTCTACTAAGAGAGTTCCAGGACAGCTAGGAGTTAGAGAAACCCCGTCTAGAAAAAGCAGTAACAAAAAAATCAAAACTAAAACCAAAAACTCAAGTTCAGATCCCCAAAACATATGTACAGCTAAAAATGGCAGTATAGTCTATAATCCCACTATTACACTACTATAAGTGGGAGCAGAGACAGGAGAATCCTCGGAAACTTGCAAGACAGCTAATTTGGCTTGCAAATAAGGGGAAAGCAAGGACCGGCTCCCAAAGCTGCCCCGTGTCCTCCATGTCCACACTTCAGGGAGACCGAGGCAAGAGGACTACCAAGAGTTCAAAGCCAGCCTGGGCTGCAGTGTGAGTTCTGGGCCAGCCTGGGCCTGCAATTTTAGCGTTTGGGAGATTGAGGCGAGGCCTACCAATAATGTGAGGACCAGCCTGGGATATATAATGTGTTCTAGGCCAGCCTGAGCTACAAAATGAGACCCTGTTGGTTTTTTTTTTTTTTTTTTTTTAGTTTTTTGAGACAGGGTTTCTCTGTGGCTTTGGAGCCTGTACTGGAAGTAGCTCTATAGACCAGGCTGGTCTCGAACTCACAGAGATCCGCCTGCCTCTGCCTCCCAAGTGCTGAGATTAAAAGCGTGCGCCACCAACGCCCGGCTGAGTTTGTTTTTTTTAAATCAACAAAAACCCTCATTGGTAAGGATCTTAAGAACATGGAACTCCTGTGTGTGTATTTTGAAAACATAAAATGTTTCAACCAACCATTCCAGCTGCAAGACTATATTCCAAAGACACACCCCCATTTGCAAAGGGTGTTGTATATGGCACTGTGGGGCAAGGTAAAGCTATGACCCGCAGCATCATCAGTACAGACTTCCCAGTGTGACATGTCTTAAGGAGAAAGGTTTACACAGACACGCACTTCTGGAAACGGAGGGACTCCAGGAAATGGGCTGGGAGTAAATCTGCACCCACAAGCTCGCTACAGGGCAACTTAGAAAAGGAAGCTAAGGGTAGGAGAGCCTCTCAGTTGGTTTCAAATATAAAACTGCTGACTTAGGTGGGAGTGGGAACAGAGCCTTTAACACTAGCACTAAGAGGCTGAGGCAAGCATAGCTATGTCAGTTTGAGGCTAACCTGGTCTACATAGCAAGCTTCAGACCGCCAGGACTACATAATGAGACTCTGTCTCAAAAGAACAACAAAACTCTGTTTACTATTCTATAATGGGCAAAACCATTTCCATAATAAAAGGTAAGTTAAGCAAGCCTAAAAACCCTAACACAAAACTCAGATTTAGCCACCCACCCTTCTTCACCTGAACCCCAGTGTGGAGGGTGCCAGGCTGGAAACCTACCATGAAGAAGGCCCACGCTGGGATCAGCAAGGCCACAGCAGCAGCACTGGTGTAAAACTGCAGCTCCGGGGCCCTGGAGGGACAGGAAACACATGATCTTTCTCATGGGTCTGGGCTTCCACCCAGGCATTTTCAGCAAAGAAAACTCAAGAATCAGCAGTCAGAAATGTGTCTCCCACAATGTCAAGAATGTAAGGGTCCCCATGACCTGAGCTGGCTGTTTGGTAACCCGAGGAGTGAGCTAGGAAGCAGGTGGTTTTCTCTCAATTTTTCACCAAGAGCTGTCAAAGCCACTCAAACCAAATGAGTTCAGGCTCCCAGGGCTCATTCAGAGCTGTAAAATGACCAAAAGTTCTGCTGGGTCTTAAGAAATCACAGTCGGTGCTGGATGTGGTGGTGCAGACCTCTGATCCCAGCACTTGTGAGGCCTGCTCTGTACAGGGAATGCTAGGACAGCCAGGGCTACATAGACATGTTATCTCACCCCTGCCCCAATTACTGCTACCGCCACCACGCCAAAATTAGAAACTATAAATCCTCTTACAGATACTTACGAGAACCTGTATTTGTCCCCACTGAGAAGCTTTTTTGAAAAAACATTCTGCAAACTAGAACAAAGAGACATAAAACACTTAAGTCAGTCAGGAATAAGGTGAAGATCAACCACCCACTAAGGCCAACAGCCACAGGCACTTACGCGCCTGAAGCCAGTCCTGTACCAGGTGTGTCCAGTCATCACCACCCGGAGAAGTAGAAGTGTGCCTACTGTCCCTACAGACAAGTAAACAGCCTGAATGACTTGCCATCTCAAACATCAGAGCACCACGATGGTTTTGCTCTGCACGCTTTGAAAACCCCAACATGGGAAGCTCAGGCAGGAAGACTAGGAATTCAAAGTCATCTTCAGATACATAATGAGTTTGAAGCAAGCCTGATCTATGTGGGACCCTGTTTCAAAACCCCAAAGGAAGGGCTGGAGGGAAGGTTCAGTGATTAAGAGCAGTTCTTACAGGAGGACAAAGGTTTGGTTCTTAAAACTGACAGGGTGGCTTACAACCTTCCATAATTCAAGTTCCAGAGACTCCATCGTCCTTTTCTGACTTCTGAAGGTTACTTGTGCACATGTGATGCACATACATACATGCAAACAAAACACTCATACATACATAATAAAAATAAATCTAGTTGGGTAGTGGTGGCGCATGTCTTTAACTTGGCAAGAAGATGCAGACAGATCTCTGAGTTTGGTGCCAGTCTGGTCTACATAGTGAGCTCCAGGACAGCTGGGTCTACCAGAGAAACTCTGTCTCAAAACAAAACAAAAAACAAACAACAAAAAATTAAATCTAAGCCAGGAGTGGTGGCACACGCCCTTGGTGCCAGCACTCAGGAATCAGAGGCAAGCAGGCCTCTGAATTCAAGGATAGCCTGGTCTACATAGTGAGTTCTAGGACAGCCAGGGCTAAGTAGAGGGACCCTGCCTCAAACAACCAAAATCTAAAACCAACCAAAAGAAGCAAAGTAAGTAAGGAAACAAAGAAAACCAAAATAGCTCACTGGATGAAGTTCCATAAATTCAGTAGCCTTGGGTTCCAGGCAAAAGAGGGCCCCGTGGCATGTGTACGACTGAATAAAACTAGTCATGCACGCAAAACCCCAGTGGGATGGCTCAGTGGTTAAGAGCATTGCCTGCTCTTCCAAAGGTCCTGAGTTCAATTCCCGGCAACCACATGGTGGCTCACAACCATATGTAATGGGGTCTGGTGCCCTCTTCTGACCTGCAGACATACATGCAGACAGAATATTGTATACATAATAAATAAATAAATATTAAAAAAAAAAACAACCCAGTGGGAAAAAATCAGATTTTAAAGCCAGAACTTAGAAACAGACACACCACAAGGGAAACATACAAACAGCCATTGGGAAAATAAAAAAATCCTGGCTTCAAAAGTGACCTCAGAGATAGAACTTGACATAGTGGGACATTGTTGCCTAGCTTCTTACTGGAGAAGGATTTTAACTTAAGTGTAGGAAAAGGTGATGCCAATCCGCACGGACAGAATAGTGACCAAGGACGCTGTCTCAAGCCACAAGACAGCAGGAATCAAGAGCATCTTCAGAAGTCCAGGACTCATCCAGTGGTTTGCCTTTTAGAAGCTTACCCTACAGGCAAAGATTAGATTACAGGTGGCATGTGTGCCACCACACCAGTCTAGCTACCATTTTGATTATCACAATTATCCTTACCGTGTAACCATATCCCTCTAGTTGTATATTAGCAATTAGGACTACATATCAAATTCCAGCTTTGTTTGGAAAAAATGCTCTGGAACTTATTGTTGTACTTCTTGAGAAACAGGACAGTAGAGCCTGGCTCAGCTTGAATCTGAATACTCGTGGGCTCAGATGAGGCAAAACCAGCCCTTCTTAAGCAAGCTTCCTTCACCATCTCCCCTTGTGATCTTAACTCACCAATCCATAATGTTGGTGGATAATGCAGCTGAAAACCCCAGGATGTTGAAGCTTATCTCAGTGGCTGTGCACAATGCCAGTCCTCCCATGACTGGGATAAGGGACAGGTTGACCAACAGCCCTGGCAAGAACAAAACAGGAACGTGCGTAAGTGTGGGTGCGCACAGGCCACGACACACAAATGGAGGATAACCTGTGTAGACAACTCCCTCCTTCCACCATTAGGTCCTAAGGACTGAACTCAGCAGCTCCTTCACCCACTGCTCTAGATCCCGTCTCTAAAAACAAAACAAGCAGGACTAGAGAGACGGCTCAGGGGTTAAGAGCACTGGCTGCTCTGAAGGTCCTGAGTTCAGTTCCTGTACTCACATGATGGCGGCTCACAACCATCTGTAATGACATCTGGTGCCCTCTTTGGGCCTGCAGGCATAATGTATACATAATGAATAAATAAAAAAAAAAATTCACAGCAGGGTTTCTCTGTGTAGCTTTGAAGCTTGGCCTGGCACTAGCTCTGTAGCCCAGGCTGGCCTTGAATTCACAGAGATCCGCCTGCCTCTGCTTCCCTAGTGCTGGGATTAAAGGTGTACGCCACCACTGCCAGGAAATAAATAAATCTTAAAAAATAAAATTCTGTTCACTGCAATGAAAATCACATTTTCCACCTCTGTTAATCTTGGAAATGACAACACTTAACAGAACCTTTTCAATTTTACATAGAGGACTTATTTCAATTGTCACAGAAAATAAGGACATGTAGCTGAACAAGACCCAGCACGTAATGGGCAGCAGGTGACACCACAGATGAAAATAAAAGGTGCTGAGGCCCAGGCCAGACCGAAGGGCAGGACCAGGAGAGCCCCTACCTGTGTACTCCCCCAGAATCATTCGAGACATGATCACAGTGAAAATGGGAGCTGAGCTCTTCACAGTCTCAGCGAAGGACACTGCCACATTCTTCAGGCTGACCAGCCCCAAAACCACCGTGGCAAACCTTAAAACAAGAGAAGAGCAACATGAGAAGGGACGTCTGCTTATAAAATAGACTCCAAGTGCTTAGCCACGACCAGTGGGCACATCCGGTCCCTCTTCCCAACAAGCAGGCCGAGCCCCAGGTGAGGGCAACCCTACTGCACTCCAGGATGCAAACACCTTCCAACCACTACTGAGTTACCTTTTTAAAAACATCTTATTTGAGACAGAGTCTCAGTATGTAGCTCTGGCTGTCCTGGAACTCACTATGTAACCAGACTGGTCAAATTCACAGAGACCCACCTGCCCCTGCCTCCCAAGGATGTGCACTGAATTACTTTTTAAGGCTGCCGTATAAAAGACTCAAGAGAGAATGAATGTGGCTCAAGGGCCACAAAACTGAAATCCAACTGATGGATATCCCACATGTGGACAGACCTGTAATTGTATCCTGTGCTAGAAACACACACTCAGACACACTAATCGCCAAGGCCTCCAATAGGGTTTCCACACTTACTAACTAGAAAGATATTTGTTTTTGGTTTTGTTTGTCAAGACGGAGTTTCTCTGTATCTCTGGCTGTCCTGGACTCTCTTTGTAGACCAGGCTGGCCTCAAACTCAGAGAGACCCACCTGCCCCTGCCTCCTGAGTGCTGGGATTAAAGTCATGAACCAACACTCTCAGATCGTAGAGGTGTTTTATATCTAAAGAAACCAGTAAGATGGCCAGCACATTGTACCTCATGAGGCCCACGAAGAGCATGGTCATGATGAAATTGGGTGGGTAAGAGAGCCGAGTTTTGTGTTGATACAAACAGCAAGGAACAAATATTTTAACGCATCCAATTAATGTCGTAGACAGCATCTGCACAGCACCTGTGGAGGGAGCATGGGGCGCACTGAGAACAGGCCTTTCCCACACGTGAGCACAGACATCACCCTTCACTCCAGGACATTTCTGAGTAAGCCCCTTTAGCTTTTCCCTCCCTCCTGGTGGCCTCTGGCCACTCAGCATTGGCTCAAACAGGAGAGCACACCGGGCAGGCAGCATTACCTAGCATGCTGGGCTCTCCCTCCCTCTACAACAGGAGAGCACACCGGGCAGGCAGCATTACCTAGCATGCTGGGCTCTCCCTCTAGCAGCGACAGGATGTACTTGTTGAGGAACAGCGTACAAAAGCTGAAGAAGAACCACAGCGTGAGGTAGATGAGAGCCCTTGAGCTCCACACACCCAAGTCCGACTCAATGACAGTGGTCTCTGTGATGGTGACGGTGAGCAGGCTCTCCTCTGGACTTCCATCACCTTTGGTAAAGACAATCTTCTCACTCCGGTGACCAAAAAGGGGGCCCCAAGTGGGAAGTGACTTTTCTCTCAGCTCCTCTTCGCAGCCAGCCACTGTCTCCTCTGGGGCTTGGGATTTTGCTGATGACATGCTGAGGGGACTTGTGGGAAGTGAACCTCAAGGATGGACCACATGGATCAAAGTGACTTCCCCAGCAGAGGGACGCAGTTGGAGGAGCAGGCAGCGGTCCTGGTCTGCATGAATGTGGACCCCGACATGTCTGTTTCCGGCAAAGTGAGGACGCAAAGGCTGAAACGTTAGAAGAGAAACTGCATTGCTAACTTTGGACATCTCCTATTCTTCTGTAATTTGTATATGATGCATGTGTGCACCTGAGTGTGTGAGGGAAGACACATACGTGGAGGTCAGAGAGCAACCTTGGGCCTGACTCGCACCTCGCTTGCGGTCCACTGCTGAGCTAGCTCTTCCACAAGCTGACAGGGCCCTCCTGTCACTCTTTCCTCTCGTCTTCCAAAGATTCTGTTCTAGTTTATCTTGCTGTATAAGGAAGTATAGCTGCCTGGACCCGAGACCCCACCAACCTCGGAAGGTGCCAGGCTGAGGCAGTCCCCTTACTCTTGCCAGGCTGGTCCTTCCCTGATTGGCTCAGCTCAACCCAGACCTGGAGTTCCTTCTGCCCCTGGTCTCTAAGACAGTTTGCATCAGGTTTGTCCACACCTTCCACAGATAACCCTTGGTACTTTATCCAGAGTTTCTATCTGCTCACCACATTGAGTTTTTAATTCATGAAAGTCCTATTTGTTTCTGTTTCAAATTGGCCTGTCTTTCAATTCCTCTTTCATATCCTTTATGGTCACTGATGATTCATTATTCATAGACCGTGGCTACCTAGGCCCATTTTTTTCCTTGGTGGATGGATGAGTATGTCAGACAGCACCTCTACTTGTTGTGCTGGTTTAGGTTTTCCAAGGGCCAAGGACCAAGTCCATGCTACTTTCCAGACAACACTAGTCAAAGTCATCAAAGCTTGGCCCAAGGACATTCAGACGCGTGCTACAGTGTCTACAATGAGATGTCTACCACTCTTAAAGTCTCAAACAGAGCCAAACCATCCTGTTCTCCTGTGGAGGTTGGCATTCTCCTAGTTCTGGCTTTGAGCAGGGTCTTGTCTTTGACCTGCTTAATCTCATCAGAACTTCACTCCAGGCTGGGACATAGGCCTTTGGTAGAGTGCTTGCCCACCATTCACGAGGCCTGAGGTTTGAGCCTCAGCACTCAAACAATAAAAATTGAAGGTGCATACCTTTAATCCCAGCACTTGGGAGGCAAAGGCAGGCAAATCTCTGTGAGCTTGAGGCCTGCCTGGTCTAGAGCAAGTTCCAGGACAGGCTCCAAAGGTACACAGAGAAAATCTGTTTTGAAAAAGAAAAATTGAAAAACAATCAAAAACACTACCACGCAAGTAGCTTTAAAGAGCTGTTTGTTGCTTGGGCTTCCTGGTTTTGGCTTCTATGGTTTGGTGCACTGGCTGCTCTTCCACAGAACCTAGTCTAATTCCTAGTACCTTCCGTAACTGCAGTTTCAGGGCATCTTATGGCCTCCACAGGCACCAGGCATGTACGTGGTTCACATATATACATGAAGACAAAATACCCATACACATAAAAATTTTAAAAAGGGCACCTCTTTCCTATCCCTTTCTTTTTACGTTTAAGAGTGCTCTGCCTGCATGTTTGTGCACCATGTGTGTGGCTGGTGACTGCAGAGGTCAGTAGAGGGTGTATGATCACCTAGAACTGGAGTTACAGAGGGTTGTGAGTCACCATATAGGTGATGGGAGCCAAAGTCAGGACTTCTACAAGTGTCTCTCTACCCCATCCCTCTTTCTGAGGCACACTGCAGGTATTAGCTCCGGAGTGTGATCCAGCTTCATGTCCTTCTGGATATCATGGTTCCCACCTCTCTAGGACCCTTAGTTCATACTTCCATGTTTGCATGTGCCTGACTCATGTCAAATGATCTGTATGTATATCTGCCTGCCTGTGCTCACCGTATGTGCTTTGCTATCTGTAGTATAGAGGATGCCATACTCAGCTGGGCAGAGTCTGCAGCCCTGTCCTGTCCCATCACCCTTCTCCAGCCAGGGCTCTGCCAAGTCTCATCATTACCTTGGTGTCTCACCTGATCCTAGCAAGTATTCTTTCTCCCATCATGACCCCTCAGTACACAGGAGAAGCCCCTCAGTGTGTCCCAAACCACTATGGGGATGGCACTGTTCCTCAAGCTTCCTGGGTTCTGTTAAGCCAGACCTCTACCGAATGCTGTTTTCTTCTTCCTCACCATTGGCAATGTCACAGTTTGGCTCCAGTGACAATTTACTGGTAGCTGAACGTCCTAGACTCCAGGACTGGCCAGGCCCTGTGCTGGGATGGAAAGAGAATTCATATACTCCACCATCACCCTTTCCTGCCCAGGAGAGCAGTCAGACTGAAAGTAGAGTGGCCCGATATCTCCAGCAGTAAAGTATGAGAACCTCAAAGAAAAGTTCAAGTTTCAGATCATGTTTCATGCTCTTTGATGATTCAAGGGCAACCAAGCAAGGAACCACTGAGAGAAGCCACTCCCACAGCGACACCAATGGATTTTGTTCACTCCACTGATCAGAGAACATTTTGACAGTGCAAATGCAAACAGACCCCAGACATGGCCTTCCAAGAGTCAGGGCCAGCAGGAATGAGGTGCAAGTCTGTAACCCCAGCACCGGGAGCTTGGGAAGTGTAGTGACCTGTTTCAATTCTCCCACCCCTCCTCCAGCACACAGTCTTTGTGACGGTTGGTCTTTTGACAAACTACCCACTCTGCCCACCTGAGCAGGCACTGCGAGGAAGGCTAGCACAGGTCACAGAAACCCCACAGGCCTTGGCCAACATAAACCCATGAGATTTACCAGGCAGCCACTTTTCCAATTTTTAAAATTACATTTGTCTACATAGTTTTTGTAAGCAGGCGTGGGTTCATGTGTACATAGCATGTCTGTGGAGGTTGAAGGAGTTGGTTCTCACCTTCTCGTATGTAGGCCTAAGGGATCAAGGTGGGTCTGTCAGGCTTGAGGGTGGGTGTCCAAGTTTGAACAGAATCTACAGAGACCGAGACCTGGGTAACTAGGCATGAAGAAGAGAAAATGCAGGTTTGGATCTATACCCCATGATTGGCTTTTGAAAAGCCACTTCTCACTGTGGACCTAGAATAAGGCAGTTTCTTATTTACTTTTCTTGCATAGCTGCAGATTCCTTAGAGTGAGACAACTGTGATGCCCACCTTTAAACTCTCTAGTTCTCTTCAGGGCATATGCTCTTCCTGGAACTCACTTTGCAGACAAGGCTGGCCTCGAACTCACAGAGATCCAGCTGCTTCTGCCTCCCGAGCGCTGGGATTAAAGGCGTGCACCACCACCGGGCCCTCACTGGTTAATAAAGAGCTGACTAATAGCTAGGCAGGATTTTCGGGAAAGAAAGGAGGCTGGGAAGAAAAAAGCCGGAGTCACCAGGAGATTCAAAGAAAAGTGATATGAAATAGCAATGCTGAAAAAAGGTACTAAGCCAAGACATAGTATATAGATAAGAAATATGGTTTAAGTTGTAAGAGCAAGTTAGTAACAAGCATAAGAGTCATCTAAGTCTTTTGACATCAGACATGACCAACAGGAGTTGGAGCTTACCATGCGAGTTTTTGTTTTGGTCCAGGATTTCCTCACTGTGTCCCCCTTCCTCCCGTTTGGAATAGTGATGTATATTCTGTGTCATTTTATGTTAGAAGTATATAATTTTATTTTTACTTTAAAGGGGATTACAGTTAAGAAGGTGGATTTTGTGAGCTCGCGACCAGCCTGGTCTACAAATCAAGTACCAGGACAGTCACGGCTGTTACACAGAGAAATCCTGTCTCGAGAAATTAAAAAGTCTTGGGCTGGAGAGATGGCTCAGAGTTTAAGAGCACTGGCTGCTCTTCAGGAGGTTCTGAGTTCAATTCCCAGCAACCACATGGTGGCTCACAACCATCTGTAATGAAATCTGGTGCCCTCTTCTGGCCTGCAGTCATACATGGAGTCTGAACACTGTGTACATAATAAATAAATCTAAAAAAAAAAAAAAGAAATTAAAAAGTCTTGACTGAAAGACTGTGGGGACTCTTGAAGTTGGTCTGAATGCATTTTGCATTATGATATGACTGTCAACTTCTTGAGGCCAGGGAGTGGAGTGTGATTGTTTGAATGAGAACAGCCCCCATCAGCTCATATATTTAAGAATGCTTGGTCCCCAGTTGGTAAAACTGTTTGGTAAGGATTAGGAGGTGTGACCTTATAGGAGGAAGCGTGGGGAGGGTGAGGTTTCAAAAGTCCACACGAATTCCAGTTAGTGTACACACTCACTCTTTGTGCCTTGTGGTTGTTATCATGTAAGCTCTTAGAGACTGTTCCAGCACCGTGACTGTCTGCCTGCGGCCATGCTCCCCATGATGGTCAGGAACTCACCCTCTGAAATTTTACACAAGCCAAAAACGTATCTCTCTTTTTTTTTTTAAATTTTTATACGTTACTTTGGTCATTATAGCAATAGAAAAGTAACCAAGGCACATAACTCCACGTAACTTAAAAATAATAAAGAAAAAGTTTTAGCCACGGTGGTTACACACTGTTGTAGAATATTCCTTTACACTGTGTGAAGATATTCCACTGGAACTGTTTCAATAAAACGCTAAACGGCCAACACTAGGCAGGATTTGGGGGGCAGCCAAAACACTGGGATGAAGTTGAAGTCACCAGCCAAAGAGACGGTTCAGCAGGTAAGAATATTGCCTGTTCTTCCAAAAGACCCAGGCTCAATTCCTAGCAACCACAGCAGCTCACAGCCATCTGTAACTCTAGTTTCAGGGGATTGCATACTCTCTTCCAGCCCCTGTGGGCACCAGGCACTCAAGCAGTACACAAACATAAATGCGGGCAAAACACCTACACACATTTAAAAAAAAAATAAAAGTAATCACACGATGATATTAAGAGAAGAAACTTCTGAGCATTACCTATGTCAGGCTGAGGACTGAAAGGGCTCTGAACAACACTGAGCACCAAGAACAGTCCTGTTTGACAGTACCAGGACAGCCATGGCAACACACAGAGAAACCCAGACAATAGACAACGGACACCAGATTCAGAAGTAAGGACAGTTGTCAGATGCAGGCAGCACTCTGGCTACTGCCTAGCTCACTGCTCCCACGCAGCGCTGAATTAAAGGGATCATTTGGTGTTGGAGAAATGGCTCAGTGGTTAAGAGCACGGGCTGATCTTCTAGAGGACCCAGGTTTGCTTCCCAGCACCCACATGGTGGCATATAACCATCTGTAACTCCAGTTTCAGGGGATCCAATGCCCTCTTGTCTCAGAGGGCAACAGGCATACACAAGGTTCAGAAATAAACACTGGAAGCAAACATTCATACATATAAAATAAAATTTTTAAAAAATCAGAGATTATTTGTTGGTTACTATAATACCACATGGACAAGCTCCTGGAGAAGTAGGAAAGACCTTTGGGGGCAGAGTCTGACTCTACAGATCAACCAAGGGCTACACAGCTCTAGTCTGGCAGAGTCCGACTCTCCCAGTCCTGGTCCAGTTCTGCCTTCCCAATCCACAATCCACGACAATTACAAAGATAAGAAAGACTTTGGCCTGCAAAAGCTGAAGGTCAGCAGAGATCTGGCAACAAGCTGCTTGCATAAGAACTGGTGGTTGATTTTACCTGCGTGGGCCTGGGAGACAGTTACGCAGCTGCTCAACTTGATCTTGAGGTATGTAGAACGAGCCACCCAACCCTATCATTGGCTGTAAAGTCTGAGTCACCATGACCCTCTCAGATTAAATGTACTTCTAGGAACAGATAAGAACCAAGATGTAACTTCCCTTCCTCTGGATTATTAAGACTCTCTTGCTGGCCAGGCCGTGAAGGCGCACACCTTTCAACCCAGAACTCAAGAGTCAGACGCAGGCAGATCTATGTGTTTGAGGCCATCCTGGGCTTCAGAGTGCATGCCAGGCCAGCCAGGGCTGTATAGAGAAACCCTGTCTGTTCCAAACAAACAAAAGACTCCCTTGCTGACAAGACCTGACTTGTGAGCTTTTACTCTAGTCCGTCAAAGACGTGCGTACAAGCCGGGCGGTGGTGGCGCACGCCTTTAATCCCAGCACTTGGGAGGCAGAGGCAGGCGGATCTCTGTGAGTTTGAGACCAGCCTGGTCTACAAGAGCTAGTTCCAGGACAGGCTCCAAAACCACAGAGAAACCCTGTCTCAAAAAACCAAAAAAAAAAAAAAAAAAAAAAAGATGTGCGTACAGAGCTCAAAGGAAAATGAGCCACACAGTGCTCTAGACCAACAGCAAAGACATGACGTTAAAGCTACAAGAACCAACAGCTGCTTGCCTGGGATTAGCAGGCAGTGGTAATCTAGTGAGATTATCTATTTTTTTTTTTTTTGAGACAGGCTGGCCCTGAAGGTGTGGGTTCTCTTGTACCAGCCTCCAGAATGCTGGAATCACAGGCACTCCACCATGCCCGGTCAAGATACCATTTTTACACCATTCAATGCTTACTTTTTCCATTTTCTAGTTCCATGAATCTCAGGTTAAGAATGTCTATTTTTGGCCTCCATTCAGGGTGCTTCCAGCGGAGTGGAGGAACACAGAACCTCCAAGTGTAGCCTCCAACCATAGCCTCTCTGCAAGCCAAGGATGCATATCTGCAGGACTGGGCCAAGATCTGCGCACAGCCTGGCCCCAAGTGGCAGGGGAGCAAGTGGGCTGTCAGAACAAAACACTTGGAAGCTGCCGGGCCCCCAAAAAAGAAAAGGAAAAAAACACAAAAGAAATCTCGGGAACAGGACCAGAAAGCTACAGAGCACAAGACTAAGCCCCCAGGGAAGATGGCTCCCACCTCTTCTAGGGCTAAGAAATCCAAGAACTCCAGCTCCCTGGAGTCCCCTGAAGATGGCCAAGTCACAGCACCTGATTCTGTCTTTGCACTGGATTTCCTGAGACAGCAGCTGCCCGGGACCAGGGTAGCACCAAGGAGCTGTCTGCTGCCACTCTAGAGAAAAGACAGCGGAGGAAACAGGAGAGGGAACGGAAGAAGAGGAAGCAGAAGAAGCTTCAAGCAAAGGAGGAGCCAGCTGAGGCCCCCCAGATGTGGCATGCCAGCCGAGGCACCCCAGATGTGGCCTGCAAGGAGCCGCGAGAGTCAGGGCTTATCTTTAATAAGGTGGAAGTGACTGAAGAGGAGCCTGCCAGCAAGCCCCAGAGGAAGGAGAAGTGGCAGAAGGTGAAAGGAAGCCAGACACCACTGACGGGCAGGAACTACAGGCAGCTGCTGTCTGCAGGCGCAGCATGGCCGGCTGGAGGAGCTGCGAGACCAGGATGCAGGCAAGGTCCAAGAACTGAAGGCCAAGATGAAGTGGACCAACCTGCAGTACTAGGCAGAGGGTGTGAAGATCTGTGACAATGAGCACCTGCTGCAGGAAGCCTTGCAAGGTAGAGCGCTGTGCTGGCGGAAGAAGCGCTCAGAACACTTGGTAGAGAAGACACAGCAGCGTCAGGACAAGCGGTGCCAGAACCTGCGCAAGAAGGCCATGAAGGCCGAGCGGCGGCTGCAGAAGGCTCACAATAAGGGCCAGGAGCCGCCACAGGACCTGGAGTGAGCAGGCCTCTCCTGAGCAGCTTGCAGCTCCAACATTCCTGGCCAGACACCTAGGTGACAGACTGTGGGTCTCCTATGTGAGACTGACATGTTCTTGCAACACATAGCCACAGTGAGGGCTCCAACAGTGTGCCAAGAGGATGTCTGGCCATCATCCTTAAGTAGGAGAGTGTCCTCCAGTCCCTGGGAGGGATGAAGAGGATCTGTGCCCAAGTCTTGTGAGTGTGTGTGTGTGTGTGCACGCCCGCATGTCTGTCTGTGTCTGTCTGTGTGTATTCGTGTTTCTGAAGGCTCCAGAATCAGGGCAGAAGTTGAAGTGGAGGTGCCCACCTGACCTCTTCTTACTCACCTGTATTTCCGGTGACCATGGGAACAAAAGGCCTTGACTACTGCTTCTGTGCTCACAAGTCTCTGGCAACAGACAAGAGCCCACTGGAGTTCTCGGGGGAATCTGATCCAGTTAGGTCTATCTCTGGGCCAGAGCTACAAAGCCCAGAGTCTTTCTGGGATCCACAGGATGGGCCTTGGGTAACATGGCCTCCTGTGAGCCAATTGGTATCAGCGCTTGGGAAGGAGTGGTCAGTTTAACATAAGCTAGAGTTATCTGAGAAGAGGAGCCTCACTGAGGAAGGAGACAACCTTGCCCGTGGGCAAGTCTGTGGTCCACTTTCTTTACTGGTGAATGATGTGGCAGTGCCAGCTCTGGGCTCGTGGTCCCGGGTTAGAGAAGAAAGCTGGCCATGCTGAGCAAACCAGTAGGCGATGTTCCTCCATGGCTCTGGCTTTAGTTCTGCCTCTAGTTCCTTGCCCTGACTTCTCTTGCTCATGCACTGCTACCTGGATATTAACACGAAATAAACCTTTTCCTCCCCACCCCCCGCGCCACAAAAGAATGTCTATTTTTGGCTGAAGTGATAGCTCAGGGGGTAAAGGGACCTCCTGCCAATCTCCCTCCACATATGCCATGGCAATGCATTCTCACACATACATTCTTTTTCAAATCTGTCCTTAGTGGAGGATGAGGTTCATTGGCAGAAGGCTAGCCTAGCACGCTCAAAGCCCATTACAAACTGGAGAACAAGGAAAGGAAGAACAGGAGCAGATGGAACAGAGGACTGGGGATGTTCTCAAACACCTGGCCAGGACATCTGGATTGGTCAGCGGTGACTGAGAGAAAACATCAAACCTATATCATGCATGTCTGCGAGTTTACCTCGGGGAAATAACCCAGCAAAGGGTGCTCACATTCTGTCCACCCGCTCTTGCTTCTAACACCGGCACTGCATCAGGCCAGTCAGTAGTGAAGAATTTGTACCGAGGGAGGGTGGTTAGCCCTGACGAAAGCAACACACTGCAGCTATGGTGGTTTTTGAGGAATGGGTACTTTCAGGACCATTTATGTGGTGTGTGCAGATGAAAGGCACATCCACATTACCAGCCACAAAGCAGCATGTGGCAGACTGGTCCTTTAGTTCTCTGTCTTCCCATCTTCTAATCCGTCTACACAGGAAAAGAATCACTTTAAAAGCCTTCCTAGCTCCTCACTTAATGAAACAACAAAACACTGAACAAGGAACCCACCTCTAGATCACAGTGTTTTGCTTTTTGTTTTATGCTTTTGCACGCCTCAAGGATTCAAACCATCAATGTTGCAGCCAAACTGTTTTATGCCGGGAAAGTTCCAGTTGAGAAAAAAACCGCTAGCTCTCTAAGATAAAGTTGCAGCTCCGGACCTGGCGGCATCGCCCATTTACAGCACGAAATAACATGCTTCCGGAGCCAGAGGCAGTAGAGGCAGGCAGACGACAGGGTGCCTGCACTTGCCATCCGGGCGGCGCCTCCTTCCCGACGCCTGCTGCGGCTACAGCCCGCCCGCGATCCCGCCGGTGTCCATCCCGGTCTCCACCTTACCTGTGCGTCCTGCCCTGCGAAGTCCGCCACCCGGGCGCCTGGTCCCTAGTTTGCCCCGGGCTGACTCCAGGGCGAGGTGAAGCCCGTCCCCCGTAGGGCTCAGTGCTGCAGGATGCACCGGAGTCGACTGGGCGCCGTCCGCCCACGCCAACGGACGGTGCAGCTAGGTTCCCCGACGCCGCCCACTTGGGGCCGAGCAACTTCGCGCGGAGGAGAGCCGGGTTCGCGACCAAGGCTGAGGGCTACACACCCCCTGGCGGCCTGCGGGCAGCGCGCAGCGAGCTTGAAGTTGGGACGCACAGGCGTGGGATGGAACCGGATGTGACGCACAGGAAGTCGCCACGGCGGAAGCGGGTCCGGGTGAGCCCCTCGGGGAACACCTTGGTTCCTTCCAGACCCGAGCCGGGTCCCTTGCACGCTCGCGTGTCGGTGCCTTCTGTCACGTTCGGGCGCAAACCACGCGCGCGCGTGTGTATGGGGGGGGGGGGGGGAATCTTTTCCATTTGTAGCGCGACCGTGTGGCCTCCCGTTGGCTCCTTCCGGGCCGGTAATGCGGAACGGAAGAGCGAGACTTCCCCCGGTCATCTTTGGAACGTTCCACCGAGACCGAGACCGGAGGGGTTGAGTCACAAGGCTGCGGAGGCACAAGGTACCGATCTGCAAGTCCAGCCTGGATTTTGATATCGAGGAGCCTAAAAAACAATCTGGCTAGAAAACAAACGCAGCGAAAACAAAAGCGCTCACTGACGGACACACGAACCACCCCAGCACCGGACTCCCTGCGTCTCGGGTGCGGTCACGAGCTGCGGGGCGGGCCGGGACCGTGGCGATGAGGCCCTGGGTGGAGCCGGAGGAAGCTCGCTCGGCGTTTGAGCGTTCCTTGTGGCCACTGGCCGTCAGAGCCCTCCGCTGCTTACCATGGAAGGGTCTTCTGTGGGTATATTGAGGCTCCCCGTAGCTGGAGATCCTGCCCGTAAAGCTCCACTTTCTATCAAACCTTCATTTGTTTTTTTTCTTGGTTGTTTGACAGTCAGTAAGGCTTCTTCAAATCTCACCCAGAGGGCTGGAGAGATGGCTCAGAGGTTAAGAGCATTGCCTGCTCTTCCAAAGGTCCTGAGTTCAATTCCCAGCAACCACATGGTGGCTCACAACCATCTGTAATGGAGTCTGGTACCCTCTTCTGGCCTGAAGGCATACACACAGACAGAATATTGTATACATAATAAATAAATAAATAAATAAATATTTAAAAAAAAAACAAATCTCACCCAGAATAAGTTAAAATGGAGCTTCTTAAACCTTTTCCACTGGAAAACCCTTTTCATATGCAAGTCATACATTTACTGATAATCAACCTTAAATTTATCCTAAAACAAAAATTTTTTTCCGAGACAGGATTTCTCTGTAACAGTTCTGTCCTGGAACTAGCTCTTTTGGACCAGGCTGGCCTCGAACCTCTGCCTCCCGAGTGCTGGGATTAAAGGTGTGTGCCTGCCTCCACCACCATCCAGCCTAAAACAATTCTTTGTTGAGAGGCAGAGACCAGACTGGTCTACTTGGAGAATTCCAGGAGAACCAAGGCTATGTAGTGAGACCCTGTCTCAGCAAACAAACAAAATCCAGTTCTTTGGTATGCATGCAATTTTACCTCTTACTAAAGACGAAAGCAAACTGGCTTAAGAATGAGAAGGCATGCTTTATTTCGCAGAACTGAATATTTATACTGCAGGACATAGAATATCTTCAGCATTTTTTAGAGTTGATATTTTTAGTCCTCATTGATAAGGACACTGCTTCATTTAAATTCTGTAGTACAAATTGGCATAAGTAAGCCCCTAATTAAATGCTTCCTTTGATAACTTTCCTTGGTCATGGTGTAATGATTCAACCACAGAACATGGCTGACACTTCTGGGTTCCAGGGCCACGCGTGTGCTGGCAAGCCCTCAGGCAGAAGTGCCTAATGGCCCGGGAATCGTAAAGGACCCTGCGTGACCCACAAGCAGCATGGTTGCACGATCTACGTATGACGTAACCACAACATTCCCCACCCACCCAACCCCACGTGTCCCGTGTTTCCTTCTCACTCGCACCAGGTAATTTCACATGGCATGTCTTCACAGGAATAGAATAGTAGCAGGTATAATCTCATCTCTGTAAGAAGGCTAAGGGCTAGGCATGGTGGTGCACACCTTTAATCTCAGCGCTGTAACAGAGCCCCAAACCTTAACAGGGCCCAGACATCAGCACACAGTTGACTCGGTGAGGAAAGCACCATTAGAACACAAATCTCAGCAAATGAACAGCACCACCTGCCAAAACAAAATGAAGACCTAATCCATCAATCCATAGTTCTGGGAAACTCTTACGTGGACTAACCTTGCGTTTTGGGTTCTGTAGTTCCACCTCTGGCGGACTGGCAACCCAGAATATGGTTTTTGTGCGTAAAAATCTCACCCCCGAGATAGGCTCGGTGCTACACTGGAATCCAGAACACCCGTGTAGTGGCCAGCCAGCTAATTCTATTGGCTTAAACCCATATCCGAGGCATCTTCCTGATGACTACCCCACCACTGGAGGCAGGACTGATCTACAGGGTAAGTTCCAGGGTATCCAGGGCTACATAGAGATTCTGTCTTAAATAAATAAAAATGAAGAGGCCAAAATGTGTGCTGGCTGAGGTGGCACACACCTGTTATTCCAATCCCAGCACTCAAAAGACTGAGGCAGAAGGATCCCAGTTCTACACCAGCCATGACTACATAGCAAAAACTTGCCTTTAAAAAAAAGTGAGCCGGGCGGTGGTGGCGCACGCCTTTAATCCCAGCACTCGGGAGGCAGAGGCAGGCGGATCTCTGTGAGTTCGAGACCAGCCTGGTCTACAAGAGCTAGTTCCAGGACAGGCTCCAAAGCCACAGAGAAACCCTGTCTCGAAAAACCAAAAAAAAAAAAAAGTGAGAGACACCCAGGAGCCTGCATGGATTGACCTAGGCCTTCTGCATATATGTTACAAATATATGTGTTTGTGTAGCTTGGGCTTCCTCATCCTCATACTGGGTTGCCTTGCACAGTTTTTTTTTTTTTTGGATTTTCGAGACAGGGTTTCTCCGTAGCTTTTTTGGTTCCTGTCCTGGAACTAGCTCTTCTAGACAAGGCTGGCCTCGAACTCACAGAGATCCACCTGCCTCTGCCTCCCAAATGCTGGGATTAAAGGCGTGCGCCACCACCGCCAGGCCCAGTCTTTTTTTTTTTTTCTTCAGTAGTTACGGAGCCAGCCCTGGAGCTCGCTCTGTAGATCAGGCTGGCCTTCCACTCACAGAGATCGCATGCCTTTACCTCCTGAGTGCTGGGATTAAAGGCGTGCACCACCACCCAGCTGCCTGGCCCAGTCTTAAAGCAAGAGGAGGTACTAAATTTTACTACAACTTGATATGTCATGTTTTGTTGATATCCATGGTAGGCCTGCCTTTTTCCGAACACAAATGGAGGAAGAGTGGATTGGGAGGGGGGAAGAGGAGACGGGAATTTTAAAAAGTGGTAGACAGCTGGGTAGTGGTAGTACATACCTTTAATCCCAGCACTTGGGACGCAGAGGCAAGCAGATCTTTCTGAGTTCAAAGCCAGCATCATCTACAGAGAGTTCCAGGACAGCCAGAACTATTACACAAAGAACCCTGTCTTGAAGAAAGAAACCAAACAAACAAACATGGTTGAGTAGTAGTTGCTGAGGTGGCTTAGCGGGTAGACACCGCCACGCCTGACAACCTGAGTTTCATCCCTGGAACTGACCCCTGATTTACACACACACACACACAAATAAATAATAAATGGGTAGGTGCTGAAGAGATGGCTCAGGCACCTGAACACTAATAATATACGTACCCCGCATATATGTACACATAATCAAAAATAATGAGATTGTATCTGAAAAAGTGAAAGGAGGAAGTAAAATGATTCTTGATTCTTGATTCTTTTTTTTTTTTTTTTTTTTTTTTGGTTTTTCGAGACAGGGTTTCTCTGTGGTTTTGGAGCCTGTCCTGGAACTAGCTCTTGTAGACCAGCCTGGTCTCGAACTCACAGAGATACGCCTGCCTCTGCCTCCCGAGTGCTGGGATTAAAGGCGTGCCGTGCGCCACCACCGCCCGGCTTGATTCTTGATTCTTTACTGACACAGAGACCCCAGAACTTTATTTGGAGGGCATCTAAACTATTTGCCTAAACTTAGTTTACAGACGACTTCACAGATCTTGAAATTTGCCAAGAATTGGATGCAGCCACATGTAGATTATTATCTTAAAAAAGGTCTGTCTTATACCTCTTTGATAATTTGACTATGGAGAAGACCTTAATGTTTTTAGGTTAAATTTCTTTACATGGGCTTGGTGACCCAGAACTGTAATCCCAGCTTCCCTGGTGACTGAGGCAGGAGGAACACAAAGTTTAAGGCTTGCCTGAACCAAACCACGGAGTGAGTTCAAGGCCAATCTGGGAAACTCGGCGACCCGGGTTCAAGGTAAACATTAAAAACAAGGCTGAGAATGTAGCTCAGATTAGAGTGCTTATCTGTGTGTGTACTTGTTTCAAGAGGTGGTCTCCCGGGCTGGAGAGATGGCTCAGAGGTTAAGAGCATTGCCTGCTCTTCCGAAGGTCCTGAGTTCAATTCCCGGCAACCACATGGTGGCTCACAACCATCTGTAATGAGGCCTGGTGCTCTCTTCAGGCATACATGCAGACAGAATATTGTGTACATAATAAATAAATATTTAAAAAAAAAAAAAAAGAGGTGGTCTCCCGTAGTTAAGAATGACCTTGAATTACTGATTTTCCTTCCCAAACCTCTTGCTAGGATTACAGGTTTGGGACACCATTTCTGGTTTACGCGGTTCTGGGGATGGAACCCAGGTCTTCTAGCATGCGAGGTAAGCACTCTTCTCCCAGCCAGCTCAGGCACTGACTTACTTGGTTTCCCCACAATCACCAGTTCTTATCTATCATTTTGTTTTCACCTCTGGTATTTTGCGGCTACACAGAGGTGCCTCAGGTACTGTTCTAGGAGGCCCGACTGCTGACCTTCAGAGTATTAGGCAGCAGGCAGTTCCCAGGAAGCCCTCAGGAAGAGTGGGTGACGGAATCAGCTTGGGTCTGTCCTCATCTCGGCTCAGGACTGAGCACAGCCTAACACTGCAGTGCTCCTGGAGTTGTGACCCTGGTATTGTGACCAAGCAATGTCAGAAAATCATACGGGAAGGGCCAGGTGGTAGTGGTGCAGGCCTGTGAGTTCAAGGCCAGCCTGGTCTCCTAGA